GTCTGATGAGTGTGGTGTCGGGGGCCTAATTTAAGTCCCTTACTCTTTACCACCCCTTGTAAGGAGAGGATGGGAAGAGGAAGTGGATTTGACGGTGGAGGTGATGCATAGGAAGGTGAAATATCCTAGGGTAGGCAACGAATCTGCAATTGCGGATGTCTATGGGCAGCGGTCGCTTCGGCATTTTGGCGGATTCAGGTGGCCGCTTGCTCGTTTGCTACCTTATGTTATAAAAAAAAATAGTTACTTACTATTTCATCAGTAAGACTGCACTCTGTGTTAAGCACTAGCTTAAAAAAACTGAAGAAAAATCAATGCATTTGTAAAATACTACCATATTTGACAGTATAATTTAATATTTTTATTACTTGAATATAGGGTTATAATTATTAATATTTATCTATACACATAAAGACATATTACTTTTTAAACTTTAAAACAGTTTAAATAAAAAAAAAAACAAACTACCAAACCCGTAACTTATATAAATAACATAATGTGTAATAAATACTACATACACAGTACCTTTTTATTTGAATATAATATACTAAAACAATCAAATATATAGAAAACAAATTATAACACTACTCTTAGTTACACTGTCTTGTAAAAAACTCTTTTTCACATACATTTAAAAACAAAATTTACAATAAACTATTTTTTTTAATATTCATTATCCTCCTCATTGCCTTTTCCTTCTATATATTCTCTTTCAATGTTATTCGACGCGTTAATACTTGCAATTACTTTCTCAATACCGAGGTTCGTCCAATCCAGTGTCAGATCATCCAAATAGTTGTCAAAATCTACCAAATCCTTATACACAAGGGCTTGCATTAAATATGATACTGTCTCTAATACATAAGGCTGTTCTGAAAAGTACAGAAAAGAATTTAATAATAGGACATCAAAGATAATCTAGACAAAAAGTCAATTCCTACTTTTAGCAATACTCAAATTCTAATAGTATACCCATGTTGGGTTGTTTACACAATGTCAACTATTTTGTGATGATAGCCATATTAGATTTTACATAGAGCTATATTCTATAAAGTCCTTCCATTTAATTCCCATGTTATTGGCTACAAAAATTAAAAGTGAAAAAAAATGTGTGATATGTATTTGTAGAATTATATATGAATTGTGATATTGTATGTTTGTATAAATAAATAAAAAATGTAACCATCCATTTTGTCGCGGCCATCATTGATTTACAAAACATTGAACATAAAAACTGCTTTGTTATTGGCAATGTGTGTACCAAAGTTCTGAGTTATAAAACAAAATTATACAAGCTAATAGTAGGAATACAATAAAAGAAATTGTGATAAACTTACGGTAAATAATGTTACTTGTGTCTTTAGGCTTCCATTTTCCGTCGCTATAATTGTGTAGTTTAATCGCTGGTGAATCAAGATGCTTCATCACTTTTTTATTATCCACCTGCAAGATTAATGCATAGAAATGAACAAATTGATCACCCTATAGCTTTGGTGGTTCAAGGGGCAGCACTTGACTTGTAATTTGTTGGTCCTGAGTTTGATTCCTGACATGTACCAATATGTTTTTCGAATTACATATGTACATTTATCTAAATAGTATATTTCTTTCAAAGAAACATAATAGAGTAATCTATTTTTACAAAATTTAATACCTTTTCAGTAACTAAAACTTAATAGGAATGACATTATCTCTGTAAATATGTTACAAATCAACAATTACAATATACTGACCACAATAAACACAGCAGATGGAAAAACTTCCGCAATCTTCTCGGCTATCTTTTGCCCTGGGCATTTTTCAACTGTGTTGTCCCTAAAGTTTTCACAAGCTGCATAATATCCCGCGATTACGCGGTTATCTGCTTGTGCCATTGTGTCTATCTGTTAAATAAACGAATTTGATTAATCAAACGCCAGAAAAGTACATAATACGAATGTCAATAATTTTTAAATACTAACCTGTGTCAAAGCTATTTCTGCCATTGGTGATAAATAATGACTATGATGGAATAATGGTATAGCATCAACAATATTTAAATCTTGGTTTTTAGCACCATCTCTAATATTTGTACCATCAGCTAAAAGTATTCCAGTCACAGCACAGGAAGGATATTTCGCTGCATGTAACATGATTTTTGCGTATGGAATTGTTTCTAATGTTACTTCACTCATTTTAAATCTATTTTTAAGTTATGTGGAATGTATTAGAAATTGATATAAATGTAAATTTACGAAGAAATAGAAGTTTAAAAAGACAATCGATGATAATCTTTTAATTATAATTTGACATTGACAAATACCAATTGATGTCATTTGATTGTCATTGTGAAATGTAGATTATTTAGAAACATTAAAAAGTATAGAATTTACAGTAGCAGTTTTATCACACCGCATTGAAAACATTGTTTACAATCAAGGAAACAAGAAAATGTCGTACACTACTAACGAGTAAAACTTGTAAAAGAGTCCTCATATTACACAAACGTTTTTAGTTCCTTAAAATCTGGGCACATCCAACACAGATGATATTGACAGATTGAGTATTGACAACGACATTGACAGCCAGCTAATTGACAGAAGAAACAATAAAAATTAGAAATAAATAAAACTCAACAAACTGTGGGAAGAATGTTGAAAGTGTAATTTATTTCTTTTAAAATTATACCATGGATAAGTACGATACATCTCAACTAACTGAATTCCCACGTTTCGAATCAGAATCAAATCAGAGTGGTGTTACGACATTTTTTAATAAACTATGGAAACTGCCTTTATTTTCACCCAATGAAACATCGGAGGATGCTGAAAAAGCATCAAATGAGAGGAAACAGTCGGATGGACAGGCTGATAATGTTAGCAAACAGAGTTTTGATGATACGAAAACGGAATCTGGTAGTTATGCAGTCGAGTTTGAAGGCCGAAGTTTGCCTAATGTTTTACAGAGAATAAGCAGTTTGATTGCGTTGGGTTCTGGGGTGAGTGCAAGATTGTCTAACTTAATAACAAGTATCTAGTTATCTCCATAAAGATATCTTTAAGTTTTATGGTTACAATATTTTAATGTTATCAGGGTGGTACAAGATACGCGGATACGGAGCTGGCTCGCTACTGGATGCCGGACGATATTTCGCGCGAATGCTATGAGTGTGCGGCGCGCTTCGGAGCCTTACGGCGCCGACATCACTGTAGAGTCTGCGGGCAGATATTCTGTTCACGTTGTTGCAGTCAACGAGTACCAGGTATTATGCGGAGGACTAATTGTCCATCAGTCATGTTAACAACTTGTAGAATATAATCAATGTCACTTAGTAAAATACAAGTTAACTTATCTTAGGATTTTATTTAGAACAAGGTAGTTGTAGCTTAATAGTGCTGGTTGGAGTGTTGTCAAAATTTTTCTCTTTATTATAGCTGTTTGATTGAATTTCTATCACACATAAATTCCTTCATGTGGAATTAAAGAAACAAAAGTAAGTTTCTGTTTAAAATGCGCATGTCATGTTTGCAGGTCAGATATTCGGCTGCGCGGGCGGGTTACGAGTATGTACATACTGTTGTAATGTGGTGCTCAGTTATCTACGTGAGAATGACGCTGCAGGCGACATCTCCCCTGATTTACGCACACTGCAAGAGAACTTACAGGTATGTTTTTATTTTTATTACATAATGACACAAGAAGGCAACCGAATGCGCCAAAATGATATAGAGATCGCTGCTCATAGTCATCCACAATTTTATGTGCTGTCTACCCTTGACCATATGTAGTTTATTAAAGTTAATACTGTTGTAAAACTGTTGTACTTTGTCTATACTAGTAATATAAAAAGGAAATATTTTATTGTTTACATAGATTATCCTAGTTGTTAGCTATATTATCATGAATTAACAGGCTTCATTAAAAAAGTTCTGCAGTTCCCTTGGTGTTGCTGATGTTGATATGTGTTAAATCAAATAATATCAAGCTATCCATTGCTCGTTTGCCTAAAAAAAAACATCCCTAGGTGAAGTTCCCCGACAACAAGGCAGCAGATAAGGGTGGGGACAACTTCATGTTCGCGCGACAGCAAGAGGAGCGCCCGGAGCCCCGCGCTGACACGGAGTCCCTGCATGATCTGATACGACAGCTCGCCTTCTCACTGCCGCTGCAACAGCACAGGTTCCCTAACTTCTGTACATTTCACTGCTCTTAAAATTCCCTCACTTTATTTCATGTTTGTTATTCTTGAGTCTACTCTGTGGAACAGTTTGACTATAACTGGTTTAATAGTATGTTTAAAATAAGAATATGCTTTTGCATTATTGAAACTCTAGATATTAGTGAACAAGAATTTAAAGTAAAAATCTTTTTTTTTTTTAAATTCAGTATTTATGACTCGATCGGGCCTAAAACGCCCTGGGCGGTCGCCTAAATACGCCCTGGGCGGTTTCCTAAATGCCCTAGTCTAAAGCCAGCTTTACTTGTATGTTATATTGTGTATATGGTGAGGTTTAACAAATATATATCTTGTGTCAGGTTTCGCCTAGTTAGATACAACAGCGTGTGGCGCGGCTGTGACGTCATGCAGTGGATTATGGACAACACCAGCAATAAAACAAGGTATGGACATATTACACACATTATAATCTTATCTAGGTAAATAAATATTACAAAACCTTTATTTCAAACTATAAAATAACAAATCATCAGAAAGAGATAGACTAATTTTGATTATTAAAAATCGTAACGAAATGCACGTTGTCCTGTTTGATGTTGTCTATATTTCTATACTTATATAATAAAAAGGAAAGGTTTGTGTTTTTGTATGTATTGAAATAACTCAAAAAATAATGGGCCGATTAAAAAAAAATCTTGCACCATTAAAAAGCATTAAGGGCAGTGACACAGACTATGTTTTTTGCTATGGTTTATTTTGAAGCGGACGAAGTCGTGAGCAAGATATTCTATATGTTGAAATGTGTAAAGTAGGCATTCCATAAAGAAAACTAGAGCACATAGTTGTCTGTGGTACGAGTGTTATACATTCCATAAAGAACAGTAGAGCACACAGTGAGGGTTGTGTGCAGGGCGCAGGCGGGGGCGACGTGCCAG